TAAAAAAGAGACTCTTCAAAGGGATGCAGGCTGCAATGTGGGGACCTCATCTGGACACTGCCAAGGCATGTGTGAATGGGGCCATGTTGGAGCTCTGACATAAAGGGTGAGGATAAGGTACCAACCTCAAGTCAAGAAACCCACCTCAAGCCATCTGCAAACTTACTTTACCAAAGGTGCCTCCAGACCGTTGCTATTGTTCAGGAAGGATTACAGGACATACCTGAAATTTTCAGGACATACCTGAACCAGAGCATGCCTTGGAAACTCTCACTTTCTTCTCAAGCTTTTCCTTTTTTATGTCCATGGAGTTTTCCTGGCAAAATACTGGAGTGGTTTGCCAGTTCCTTCTCCAGGTGGATCACATTTAGTCTAATAATAATAATAATAATTTTTATTTATACCCCGCCCTCCCCGGCCAGAGCCGTGCTCAGGGCAGCTAACAACAGTAAAAATTACAGTAAAAACATAATGGGGGAAAAAACCCAATTTAAAACACAGGTTAAAATGCAATTTAAAATGCAGCCTCATTTTAAAAGTAGCCCATAGATCAAAACCATAAGGGGAGGGAAACTTAGGGTCAGACTAAGTCCAAACCAAAGGCCAGGCAGAACAGCTCTGTCTTGCAGGCCCTGTGGAAAGATGTCAAGTCCCGTAGGGCCCTAGTCTCTTGTGACAGAGCGTTCCACCACATCGGGGCCAGTGCTGAAAAGGTCCTGGTTCTAGTTGAGAACAGTCTAACCACCTTGTGACTTTGGACCTCTAAACTCTTTGCTATGACCTGTCCGTCTTGGGTGGCCCTGCACTGCATAGCTCATAGTTTCTTGGAGTTATTCAAGCCCCTTCGCCACAACAAGGCAGTGATTCATGAAGGGGACCAGAAATTTAGGTTTGCACAATTGAAGTGGAATGAAGGGCTCTGTTGTCCTAGTGCAGGGGGAGTGAGCATGAGGTCAACAGGCAATGCTGACCTGCCAGTGGTTCCATTTAGGCCCATGAGCCCGTTTTCCTGAAACCACACCCAGCTATTAATCAGCAGACATTACCCAAACCAGACAGAAAGCAGGATTGACACCCCTGGATGCCAATCCTGCCTTGTTTAGGTGCACAAGGTTCCCAGCTGGATTTTGGGTGCTTGGGAATCACTGCACAAGGGATTTTGGCAGGTGGGTGGGATAAGCTGTATCTGAGGTTGTCTTTTTCTGCACCTTCTCCAGTTTGACAATATTCATGTCTATTTGCTGTAACCAGAACCGTGTACCACATTCCATGTGGTGTTGCACTATGGAGTCAGAAAAAAACCCAATTTCATTCCCACTGGAAACATACAGGGATAATAAAACAAACATATCGTGTCATGAGAAGCAGGCTGCACGCTCTCACCCCAAAATTCCAGGCATACACTTAGAGTTCCCTGGAATGGAGAGATCAATGATCTGGAGCATCATTCAGAGGTGTGCTAAAGGATCATTGACAATGTTGCAGAAGATCGTGTAGAATAGTTGTATGGGTTTCTGGCTGTCACTCAGTCATGGGTACATGCACGTGAAATGTTGCCATCAGTTTCCTCAGTGCGATTGTGAAGGGCCTGGGGTTTGCCTTTTAGAGTCTGTGATGGAACTGCCTGCATTTACAAAATGTCTAGGTTTGCTGCAACATCTTACTTGCTTACAAGAAATACAGAGATCACACAGAAAAGCACTGACTTTGCTTAAAGAGCAGTCAATGCATTTCAAAAATCTAAGGCAAAACATGGAATTGATTGGGGTTTATTATTATGGGTTGCATCCAACACTAGTCATATTCAGAGTAGACTCACTGAGATGAAATAGAGATGACTAAATTATATCCACCAATTTCAATAGGTTTACTCTGAGTCAATCTTAACTGACTACAACTATGATATTTCTATCTCTAAAGCCTTCCTTCTATTTCATTCTATCCTATCGCACAAAATATTGGAGTAATTAAATGCTTGTTTGGTTGGTTTTAAAGATCCATACTCTGCTATTCAATCAAACTGATGCCTTGATGGTTTATAATAGAGTCAAGAGTACAGTACAAAGCAATTAAGAGACAATTCAAATCAGCTCAGCAAGACATCTGCTTAATAAACAGCATGGCTATATTCCATTTAAACAGCCTGAGCAAAACAACATTATGTTAAATAAGCAAATCTATCCATGCTTAATCATTTTCTGATCTCAGAACATGCGCTTCCTTGACATGGAATTCAGGTTTTTAGGTTCAAAATCTGGAGTAGGGGCAGCAGCTGGCATGCAAACAGCCCTATCTGAATAGAATATCTGGTCTTTTCACCTTGCCCTCTAGGTTGCAGAAGTACAGGCTTCTTGGTAAATGCTTATATTGCCAGAAGAGCAAGGCTTTTGATTCTTCTATATGCTCCTGCTTCATCTCAGCCGCCTGTGTTCAGACTTGAGGAAAAGGAAGTGCACTTGGTTGCTGGAGAAAAGCTTTTGTGCACTTTCAAAAATTAGTTTCCCTTGAAATACTAAGAAAGTGACCAACTGCTGAGAAAGAGCACTCCTTTGACAAAGATGTGTTTTTCTAGACCTGGAAAAATGTGATGGGGAGATCTTTCTTTCTTTCTTTCTTTCTTTCTTTCTTTCTTTTGACATTTGCTTATTAAACAGGAGAATAATTACAAGGCTGAATGGCACCCACCCCCAGATAATTGTAGACCGGTTGCTTTCATTAGGTACTTAAGCTAATTAGACAAATAGAGCAGCAATGGAATGCCAGTTGTGGTGGGCATTAAGTCTTCACTCCTGGGTGCATTTCCTCTTGTTCTTGTTCTTCTCATTAAAATCTTGCCTGGTGATTAAAAAGCTGTTTACCTCATTTCAATGCATTCCAAATTAAGCTGTCCATATCGTGGCAGGTTTTCTGCAAGTGCCTCAGAGTATGCAGCCTCTGACTTCAGGAACCATTTAAACATCACAGCAGTAGGAGGTCTCAACCCCCCCCCATTTGCACTGCTTCATGGGTCAGTGTCCGGGGTGGGGTCAGCACATTGGACAGCTGCCAGGGCTCAACTTGCTGAAGCAGGGCCATTTGCTCACATTTGCTCTGGGGGCTGGCTCTCGCTATATGGCCTAATCCTCAGAGTGGCTGGGTGCCATGTTGATTTCCTTTAAAAAAAAATTTTTTTTAATTATTTTTCCAAAAACACTAAAAGAAAAAAGTAAAAAAAAAGTAAAAGAAAAACAATACAATACAACACATCAAATTAACAAAACAAGACTAAGACAATAAGATAAATAATCCAGTTTCATTATCCCTTCTTTCATTCACTTATTTCCACGACCTCCTCACACCTCCCTTTTTGTATTCCACTTCTGTTAATTATTTCAGCAATTCCTTTCCATCCTCCTCTGTTTTCTATCCTATAATTATCTTAACTCATTCTAACCTTATTTTTTTCCTTTAATATTCTATTAACCTATCTGTACTTTAATTCCTTATAATATTTCTACTAAAGCCGTATAACTTCATTTCAACATTTTCCTAACATTCATTAATTTTACAATATTTCTGTAAATAATCTTTAAACTTTTTCCAGTCTTCTTCCACCAACTCCTCTCCCTGGTCTCGGATTCTGCCAGTCATTTCCGCCAGTTCCATATAGTCCATCAACTTCATCTGCCATTCTTCCCGGGTGGGCAAATATTGTGTCTTCCAATACTTCGCGATGAGTATTCTTGCTGCTGTTGTTGCGTACATAAGATTTCCAAGAATGACCCCATGTAGCATCACTTTGGAGGAATTATGGGAAATTAAAATGGCAGCTCCCAGCCACTCAGTGCTGCTTGGAGTGCTACTGTGCCCATTGCTACTACCCGGTAAGCTTGTGAGGACCCACCAACAGAGTAAGGGGTTCACCAGAGGATTCTTTGCCCACTGCACTGTTAAACCTAGAGCCAGTCCTGGGTGGTGTAAATCTGAAAACCTATTACCAAAAACATTAGGCCTATTTACATTTTCGTTTGCTTTTAATTATTCATTAAAATGTTTAAATATTGACTTCCATCAATACGTGGGCTGGTTACAATAAGCAATTAAATGAACGCCATAGTTTAATATGTAACAATAAAAAACAGAGGTGCACAGTAGATCCGGAGGGATTCAGGGGGAATTAGGGGCTTGTCAGAGGTGATGCAGGATTGGTATGGAGCAGTATGAGTTGAATGCTTTAATCCTGAAAGCGAATCCCTTTTAGGTCTTCCCAGCCAAACATCAACTTCAAAGGTGCCTAGTGCAAAAGTCCCTGGGCCTATTTGACTGCAATCTGGCAGGTTTCTTACCCAGGGGCACCTCTCTCATGTCTGCAATTTTCAGATGCATCGCTGACAGAATAACAAGGTGGATTTGGGCACAATGTTGCTGTGTTTGTCTCTTTGTTTTTAGCTGCAACAAGGCCATTCTTCTTCAAGACGGCACACAGGCTGCGGAGAAGATGGCACTTCCCTGCAGCAATCGCAGTAGAAGACCTGCAACTGATCTGCATGCCTGCAAGCACCCTGCAAGCCCTGCTCTGCAGTTACCCCCCCCTGAGAAAAAGAAGGAGCCTCATCAGGTGTTGGATGGGATGGGCAAAACAGGAAGTGACATAATGGGTTCCCTGCGTATATGGGGATGTCTCTGGTGCAGCCTTTTCAACGTCAGTTGTGAAAAGCCTAAGGCAACTGATGTTCTGCTCTGCAGAGTGGCAGGGCTCAGCCAAACAAGGGGAGGTTTAGGCTGGAAACAAGGTAAAATGGGACAGTACAGTTTGGCCCCAGGGCAGGACATTGCCTATGCTCTGGGAAACACAGTTGTTTCAGCAATGAAAAAGCTGGAGCGGAGCCTTTTCATAATAGTAGCACCAGCAGGTGCATCCTAATTTTGTACCTGCAAGGCTCCCCTTATTCAAACCATCCACGTTAACTTGTGATTTCTCTTTCGTGTTTCCCAGGTGAGAGCCAAATTCTTGCCACACTATGGAGACCCCTGAAGGCAGCACTAACCAAACAACCTACTCCTTGGGAAATGCAAAAAGGAACATGACTTATTCCCCATACTACTCGCACTCACCACCTGTTGCCGCCATCTACATTGTCGCTTACCTGTTCATCTTTGCCTTGTGCATGGCTGGGAACAGCCTGGTTTGTTTCATTGTACTGAAAAATAGCCGGATGAGGACAGTCACCAACCTGTTCATCCTCAACCTGGCCATCAGTGATCTGCTGGTGGGCATCTTCTGTATTCCTACCACACTAGTTGACAATTTGATCACAGGTAAGCCAAAAGGTGGGGGGGGGGCATAGGATGGCTAAGCGCAGCCTCTTGGTTTCTGGGGGAAAATTCACCTTCATGGCCCCTTGCAATCTTCCCAGAAGCACATGGTTTGCTGTGGGTTACATGGACCTTTGGCTTCTTATGTTCTTATGGGGAAAGAGGGAAATGTTCCCAGATCATGTGTTGGACCCAGGCTAAGCTGGTTGCACTTACCTCCCACTGAATTCAAGGGGGCAAGGTTAGTCAGGGCTTAAATTCAGCCCCATTTATTTCAAATGAAACTAATTTCAATGGGTAACTTGTATCCAATATTAGTCATACTCAGAGAAGACCCACTGAAATTAATACACATGACATAGGTTTAATGGGTCTACTCTACATAGAGCTTAGTTGGCTACAACCCAATTGGCCTTGATCCAACCCCATAACACAATGAAGGGTGGTTTAGAAATGTAATTATTATTAATGATGGTGATGATGATGATGATGGTGTAAGATGTGATTCATACAACCCTCACTTTCATGCTGAATGTTGACTTGACATCATGATAAAACAGAAAGCAACTTGGAAGGGTGGGACTTTGAGTAGAGAATAATAGTAATTATTATTATTTATTATTATTTATTAAATTTCATATTGCCCTATACCCGCAGGTCTCAAGGCGGTTACAACATAAATCACAATATAAAAACACAAAAGAACATAATCCTCTTTGAAAGCCACCAAAGTTAGTGGCCATTGTGTGAGTGAATTTCCATAGTTTTTGGCCATGCACAGTGTGAAGAAGTCCTTATTTTTGTCTGCCATGAATGCTTCAACATTCAGCTGCATGGAGTCCACCAGGGTTATGAAAGGAAAAAAACTTTTCTCTGTCCTCTTCTTGATGCCATGCATAATTTTTTACACCTCTACCGCCTTGTCTCTTGCCTGCCCTTTTTTCTAAATGGTCAGCAGAGAAAAGATTAAGCATCATTCTCTCCTGTTGCTGTGCAAATCATAACCTCCTCCTCACTTTTTGAAAAGCAGCTGAGCCAAGCTGGAGATGTATTGGTGACAAGATTTCCACAGTGGAGAGAGACCACCTGCATGTTAAATAGATAGCATCAGCTGCTAAAACTAGCCTCTCTCTAATGTCTGCTGAACTCTGTCTCATGGCCCCTAACTGCTTGCTTCCTCCTAGGATGGCCTTTCAGCAACAGCATCTGCAAGATGAGCGGGCTGGTGCAGGGCATGTCTGTTTCGTCATCTGTCTTCACCCTGGTGGCAATCGCTGTGGAAAGGTAAGAAGAAGGTGAGGTCCTAAAGCAGGAATGGGGAGCGGGTAGCCCTCCAGATGTTGGTCTCCAGCTCCCAACAGCCCCAGCCAGCATGGCTAGTAGAAAGGGATGATGGGAGTCGGAGTCTAGCAACATCTGGAGGGCCACCGGTTCCCCACCCTTGCCAGAAAGGGAGAGCACACAGGTTTGCTGTGAGATCAAGCTCAGTTCCCATGCATGCTTTGGGGCCGAGGAAGGAGGAAACTGATGCCCATCACCCTTCTTTCAAACAAATGAGCAAAGTTCCATAGATCAGGTGCTTAATGTGTTAATAGGTGTCCGTTCTCAGTTCAGTGGATAGGACTGGGTCAGCTCACCCATATGACCTGTCCATGGGGACTGTCACTTGTCCCATGCAATCACCCCAGCAGCAGTGACCAGACAATCTGTGAGCCGTGGCGAGGGAGGCTTAGGGGGTGGAGACGCTGAAGACCTTGATAAAAGGGTATTTGTTTGGCCCCTTCCTGGTCAGAGTCCTATCCTGAGGCCAAATGATGCTAAGTGGAAACAATAAGAGATGGAGCACTTTATTAAAGGAAATACAGGTGTTTGGGACTGCCAAATTTATTGTGACAGCAGTCCTCCTGTGTTTTAAATAGCTGCATGACTGACAGCAAAGTAGCAGGTCTTCCCCACTTGCTCCATCCTCATGTTAGGCACAGTGTCAAGGAGCTTATAAAGCTGCAGGACTGAGAAGGAAAGTGCCAGTGACATGCTACGACGTGAGATGGGAACTTGTGGGATGGGAGCTTGTGGTGGCACCCCATCTACGGAATACAACGTATTCACTCATCTGTGCTGAAGGTCAATGCATTCATTTGCCCAGTCATCTGATCAACACTCCATGGTACCTCATTTCATTAACATGGTACCCTCTAGCAGTTGTGAAGTTTCATTAGCCCCCAGCCAGCACAGATCTGGAGGGCATCAGATTGGTGAAGACTGGATTAGAGGATTCATCCACCATTTTAGAATGTTGTATCATTTTACTGTTGTTAGCCACTCTGAGCCCGGCTTCGGCTGGGGAGGGTGGGATATAAATAAAATTTTACTATTATTATATCCTTTGCATGTAGGTTAATACTGTTGAGCATGAGCAGTTGGGGGAAAGAGATAATGTTTGAGGTAGCGAATGAGTGTTGTGGTTGCATAGAATGGATGGTGAATGAGACATGTGGGTTGAAATTTTACATTATGCTGCCTTGTAATGCTCTCCGATTTCATTGATATTAATAGTGTGTTTATGTATGAATATTTGTTTTGCAAATTTATATTTATTTACCTAGTGTAAATCTTCATTTATATTTATTTACCTAATGTAAACCACTTTGATATCTCAGACAGGAAGCTGTCTATAAATGCAAATAATAAACAAATAATCTTAAATAATGGTGGTTGAGGCCAGCTTAGCCTCTTTATCTCCTTGCCCCTCAATGGCCCATTTGGGCCAGATAGAAAGCGTATCTTTTTGTTCCTCCCTTCTTGCATAGTAGTCATTCCCCTACTTGTATTCTTCCTCCCCTTTTCCTCTGCAGGTTCCGCTGCATTGTCTACCCATTTAAATCCAAGCTCAGCCTCTTCCAGGCACTCAATACCATTGCCATCATCTGGGTACTGGCTATTACCATCATGTGTCCCTCTGCTATCAAGCTCACAGTAGCTCAGCAGGAGGACAGCTACATGGTATACAATGGCAATCAGAGCATGACCTACCCCTTGTATTCATGCTACGAGGCTTGGCCCAATAGTGAAATGCGCAAAGTCTACACCACTGTGCTTTTTGCCCACATCTATGTTGTCCCGCTGACCCTCATTACATTCATGTATGGCCGAATTGGGCTCAAGCTGTACAGGTCGTCAGGCCCAGTGAGTCAGCACCAGGTAGTTCACGAAGGTCAGTGCAACATGGCGGTTTCTAGAAGGAAGGTGAAAGTCATCAAAATGCTTGTGCTCGTGGCTCTGCTCTTCATGCTCTCCTGGTTACCTCTGTGGACACTGATGCTGCTCACAGACTACGCCAAGCTGGATGAGCAACACATAAATCTCCTTGCAAGTTACGTCTTCCCCTTTGCGCACTGGCTGGCCTTCTCCAACAGTAGTGTCAACCCCATCATCTACGGCTACTTCAATGAGAACTTCAAGAAGGGCTTCCAGGCAGCCTTCAAACTCCAAACCTGCTCTGATGAAATGGTCCATCAAGGGGTCTATACTGAGCAGACAACCGTCAGCACCAGTGGCTTTGGTACCCGGAATAAAATCTTCACTGATGGGGAGTCCTCCGATTCAATGTGCTTGAAGAACCTGCCCCCTCAAGCTCCCTGTGGCCCACAGGCTGGACATGGCCAGGGACAAGGACCAGGAATACTGCTGCAGGATGTCAACGACATCACACCCCTGAGCAAAGTTTGCAAAGCTTGGGATGCCTGAGGAGGGTTGAATCAGCAGAGATTTTTCTGGGATCATTCCGTTCCTGCATCTGCATTTGCCTCACATGAATGGATGGGGATATTTTGGTGGCCACTCATTCATATTTTCTGTGAACTGAGCATGCTGTGGGAGTTCTTTCTACAATTATTAGAAAAAAACATATGGAGGGAGTTTGTCTTCTCTTGCTTGCCCCCAAATCCTGTATTGGAAGCCCAAACAAATGTGGATTTAAAAAGAGAACAGAATTTTTCATTTATTATTTCCCCTGTTCAGACTGTTGTTTTATTTTTCTTTCTACGTACATACCTTTAAAGCATATTCAAAGCACATTCTTTCTCTCAAAGAATTCCAGGCATTGTAGTTTTTAAGTGTTGCTGGGAATTGTCAATTCTGTGAGGGGTAAAAAACAGTGCCCAGAATTCTTTGAGGGAAAGAAAGTGCTTTAAAGGTACAATATGTACGCAGCTTTCTAGCTTCAAGTCTGGCATTCTTTCCCACTCTTCCTGGGTGCATATTGGGTGAAAAAGGAGGATTTGGATACGGAACATCCAAGCTCTTCTCATCTGCCCTGATATGTCATTTTTTTAACCCCCCCTATGGACATGTAAGCACTGCTGGTGGTACATCTGCACTGGTGGACTTTTTTGCCAGTGTGTGGCTTCATTTGGAGTTCAAGTGCCACCCTAGTGGTGTGACAGCATGTCTTAAAGATCCCATAACCCATCAGAGGCTGGCTGATGAGCTGCAGGGAGTCAGTGTGGTGTAGTGGTTAAGAGTGGTGGACTCATAATCTGGTGAACCGGGTTTGCTTCCCTGTTCCTCCACATGCAGCTGCTGGGTGACCTTGGGCTAGTCACATTTCTCTGAAGTCTCTCAGCCCCACTCACCTCACATTTGTTGTGGGGGAGGAAGGGAAAGGAGAATGTTAGCCGCTTTGAGACTCCTTTGGGTAGTGATAAAGCAGGATATCAAATCCAAACTCTTCTTCTTCAAACTCTTCAGGATAGTAGTCCAAGTGGTTTTGTAAATATTTTTCTGCCCAGTTTTGGACATTCAGAACCCAAGTGTATAACACCAGAGATGTTGCTAGATATTGAAAGGATTTTGAACAGGGGTCAACAGAGCTCAAATTTGCAGGAAAAAACCAAGTGATCATTTATATGCACAGGTGTAAACCCCTGAGCAACTTTCAGAGAAAAACCAATAACTTTTAATGGAGAGTATTCAAAAGGATGAAAGCGGCTATTGTTGTGCGAAGAAGCTAAGAGGTTCATGTTGTGGTAACCTTAGTGCCAATGCTTAGCAATGTCAAGAACAACACTGTGCTTTCATGTTTCCAAGGAAGAATCTCAGTTACTTGTACAGTCTACAACACAGGGAAGTTAAGAGTACTAGGAACTGGAGGCTATGGCTGTATGGAAGGGGCTGGGACCCATGTATCACTGAGAACTGGTTGTCCAGCACCCCGTTCCCAGCTGGCATCGTGGGCTCTGTCTCAGCCTTGACATATGGTCTTTGGAGATAACTCCCTGGTGTTGTCCTTGTAGGCTCATACTGGTGCAATGGGGATACTTGGATAGGTTTTGCATGCAATCTTGCCAGCCCCAAATATGGTACCCACCAAATTATGTTTGTACAAACACACACACTTGTGCAAAAGGAGTTGTGAGAATGCAAGCCACCACATTTTAACTCACACACTGAACTCCTGTCAAAACTACGCAAACTTCATTTTATCCTCCCAGATGGAAAGTCAGGGGGAACTTTCTGAAGACAGATCATTGAATCATAGAATGGTAGAGTTGGATGAGACCCCGAGGGTCATCCAGTCCAACCCCTTGCAATGCAGAAATCACAACTAGATTATACATGGCAGATGGCCATCCAACCTCTGCTTAAAAACCTGCAATGAACATAGTCCACTGTTTTTGTTGTAATGCACATGCTCTGCCAATATTTTTATCTGATGCCATTTTGGGAAATATATTGTTAGCTATTGTAGTGCATCGTTTAATACTTTTTCAGTATTCATTTGTACTGTGACTATGGCACAAAGGTGGGATATAAACAACTCATTCGTATAAATAAAAAAGTCATTCCTAGCAAGATGGGCTGATAATTACATGGAAATTGGACATTCTCATCTCATAGAATGGGGGATGGCTCACACTTTGTCAACTGAAGGGTGTATATGTGTCTGTCTACAAGTCATGACATAACTGTAGCTGGTAACTCATTAAAATAAGAGTACAAAATCTCATTGCATATGCTGCGTGTTTTGTCTGTGTTTGGCTAGAATAAGTAACACCTCTCCCCCCCCCCCCCCAGTCCTTGTCTACAGATCCCTTTTAGACTTTCATTGCACTTTGATGAGTTTCACTTGACCTCAGAAGATGATGTTTTTTATGGGCAAAGAGAAAGAAGATGGGATTTAGGGCTATGAAAACTATGGCTGCATACATAAAGGTTAAGGGACCCCTGACCGTTAGGTCCAGTCGTGGACGACTCTGGGTTTGTGGCGCGCATCTCGCTTTACTGGCCACACAGTTAATGCACACTTAAAGCAGACAGTGCACAAGAATCCTGGGAACTGTAGTGTGTTAAGGGTGCTGGGAATTGTAGCTCTGTGAGGGGTAAACTACAGTTCCTAGGATTCTCTCTCTCTCTCTCCCCCCCCCCCCAATTTGGCAAATGGAGCTTTAAATGTATGGTGTATATGCATCTACAGAAGCAAACATTTAGCTGTGCCAGTTCAACAGCAACAACAGTTCTGTATGCTCCTTGCCTTCTCTCTCTCCCTCCCCCCCCAGTCCCAATGAGCAACAGTCGCCATTGATGGAGTGGAAACCAGAAAGGAGGGAGAGAGAATTGTGAGAGGGATTCAGAGATGCCTGTGAAGTGTGTGTGTGTGTGAGAGAGAGGGGGGGGGTGTGACAGTGAGAGAGAGCGTTCTGGGATATACATGTTAGAATTCCTGCTCCGTGATTGCAGTCATGGGATTTTTGTCTATCATATGACGGTATATGTTTTGACTCCACAGAGTGGGAAGTGACTGAGACAGGATGTTTGTGTTACTGTGTTCCGTGAAGTGGGACTATTGTCCTTTGTTCTTTTTCTCTTTGCTGTCTGATGCTAGAGGGAGAGGGAGCCATGTTGCAGTGCTCCGTGTGTGTTTATATGTAAATAAAGTAGATTAGCCAAAATGCTGAGTTACTGAGGTCTGTTACGCAACTGCGCAAACTCTGCAGATCCCTAAGTGTGCTGGTGTCGGTTGGCATCGGTCGCTGTGATGTTCAGGCAGAAGAAAGCTTTTGAAGCTCCCGAACGAAAGACCAGGAGGGAGAGAACATGCCAGTCGGGCATGTGTCTCTGCCAGGGTCCTACTTGAGTATAGGCTGAGCTCCCGACAATACAGAGAAAATGTGGTTAACAGTTAAAAAGAAAACGGCGAGTTTAAATTGTAGCAGGCGTGCTTTTCCGCAGCTAAAATGTGATTTGGCCTCTTGTTTTAAATACGAATGTCAGAGTGGTCCTCAGAGTGATTTGAGAGTTGCATGCCCTTGCAATGCCTTAATCAGCTTGCATTAGTTACTCAAGTGAAAGGAAATTGGCTCCAGCCAGTTCCTAATCATGCCAGTGGTGCTTCAGACACACTGCAAATCAGTTCCTCCTCTGGGCTCCACTCCTTCCTTCTGCTGCCCACAGCTCTTGAGGGATGTGCCTGATTACCTTTTGTGCTGAGTCTTCTTGAAATTCACACCCTTGATCAACGAACTCTGAACAAGGAGAGGGAGGGAGATGGGTGTTGGGATCAGAGCCGTGGACATGTAAGAGACAGAAAGAATGAGGAAAACACTCAAACTCGCTTTTTGGCCATGCAATTGATCCATGTTAAATTCGGCTCAAGGGAAATATGCACTAATGTGTACTATTGGGGGGAGGGGGAGAGAAGTGACCTTAGGCTCAGGGTTCAAATGTGGCAATTCAGGCCTCTCTTTCTGCTATCAGTCAGCATAGGCAATACTTAGCTAGACCAATAATCTGACTCAGTGCAAGGGAGCTTCCTAAGTTCCTGAATTCTTTTTCATACAACACATAACGAATTGGTAGAATTTGCTGCCTCCAGTGGTGGAGATGCCAACTAGCTGGGATGGCTTGAAAAGAGGTCTTGACTATCAGCTTTGGTTGATGGGCAAAAATGGCATTGAGACGAAAGGGTTGATCTCCTACCCCTCCAGAACCAATCAGGAATGTGCTTTCTCCCTATGGCTGCTGTATGAAGGAGATTTGTTCACACTTTGCTGTGGCTGTCATGTCTAGTTCAGCCTTGAGCAAAGGGTGAGAGAGTGAGCCATACTACTTTCAGGACCTTAGTCATACTGCAGTCAGCAGGATTAAATTGTGTGGGCCTGTGCACACACCATGCATTTAAAGCAGACCCACCCAAGAACCCTGGGAACTGTCTCACCAGAGTGGTACACACACTCTGGTTATCTCCTGCTTGGACTACTGCAATATGCTCTATTGAAGGTGACTTGGAAACTACAATTAATCCAGAATGTGGCTGCTAGACTGGGGACTGGGAGTGGCTGCCGGGACCATATAACACCAGTCATAAAAGATCTGCATTGGCTCCCAGTATGTTTCCAAGCACCATTCAAAGTGTTGGTGCAGACCTTCATAGCCCTAAACAGTTTCGGCCCTGTATACCTGAAGAAGCATCTCCACCCTCATCACTCAGCCCAGACACTGAGGTCCAGCTCCGAGGGCCTCCTGGCAGTCCCCTCATTGCGAAAAGTGAAGATACAGGGAACCAGGCAGAGGGCCTACTAGGTTTTGGTGTCCGCCCTGTGGAACGCCCTCCTATCAGATAACAAAGAGAAAAACAATTATAGGATTTTTTGTAGACATCTGCTTTGGGAAACTTTTAATGTTTGATGTTTCATTGTGTTCATTTATATTTTGTTGGAAGCTGCCCAGAGTGGCTGAGGCAACCCAGT